GACCACCGTCTATGCGTTCCTGTAAGCTGGCCGTCTGTCCTAAAGGCGAACCACCTCTTGGCAAGTGGCTAATTGGGGAGTGGACCAAGGTTCTGTCAAAAGATTTCAAGCTTCTGCATTCACGATTTTTCGATCTTCAGTGCTCAGTTACATGTGGAGGTGGATGGCGACGTCGCACGGTTACATGTGACGGCATCATATGCGACGACACCACGAAGCCGCGCATGTTCGATGAGTGTAACGCAGTAGCTTGTCCACCAAAAAGTAATAATACTTGGCAGATATCTCCTTGGACTCATGTGAGTTTTAATAAGGAGATACAAGGATAAAATTATTTTTCCTTTAATCTGGTTAACATTGAGGTGCGTGTAAGTACCGCAGATTTTTTCAAACTTTCGATCTGAGCGCACTCTAACTAGTCCATAACCTGCACTAAAAGTTCTCTTTATGCTCATATTCACATCCCAAATCATCTCTAAGAATAGCTTGGAGGTTTCATCACCGTTTCGGTCAACTGTTGAGAAATTTATTTGCGTTACTGCTGATTGGGCTGGCGCACATAAAATTTGTTTCCATAAGTCTAACTTAAACGCTTTTGATGAGCACGGCTGAAATTGAGCAAGAAATAATAAACGTTATGGATTTTCTTGTTAAGAGACTTCAAGTGCCTCTAGTATAGCTAAGCGTGGAGAAAAAATGAGCATTAGCTGTTTCCAGGATCATAAGCGAAGCTTTGATTGTAGTCATAAGCGGGTGTTAAGATTATTATTTTGGATATCTGACAACTACTTTCCAAAAAAAGCGTTAACTTTGAGAGTGGTAAAGCGGAATGATCTGTGAGTCGTGAAATTTTAGATATTTTGGATAGTAACATTAATATGATCCTGCATTTACTAATTAATAAAAAAACGAGGTATCTCAGTGAAAAGGTCTTTAATAATTTCTCTTATTTAGTGCTCGGTTACTTGCGGTGGTGGAGTACAACGACGTCGTGTGTGGTGTGAAGACGCGGCTACAGCTCAGTCTCAAGACGAAAGTGAATGTCGAGATGTTAAGCCGAAGATAGTGCGAGACTGCGAGTTACCGCCCTGCCCGGCTTCGCAGCGGGACTCTCCAGCTATCTGGCAAGCTGCACCCTGGAGTCCGGTACGTCGCAGATACAAAAAACGTCCTCACATTCACCGTAGGTTCTTGCGTTACAGTGAAGCACATTAGCTAGATCCCTCACAGTGCCAACCATCGCGCTCCATTTCTCTGATTTCTGCCTATATACTCAATAGAGTAGCTTTTTAAAAGTTCCGAGTGTTTTGTCAGCTTTGCATCGATTGCGGTTGAAATGTGCTTGGAAATGTGCGTTTGGAAACTAATTCATTTCAAAAGAGCTGACAGCTTTAACTGTGAACCAAAAAGCCGATAAGTTGCAATCTGGCAAAGCAGTCATTTTAAAGACTACCCAACGTGTCCAAGTCATCGCACCGCGCGATCGAATATGCATGAATTTTAGGTTTTTCGCAATTTGTTTAGCTTTTTCTACTTTATTTGCTTCTCCTCCAGCTCGACTGCCTGCATATTCGCCTGCCGATACGTGGTGTCTTTCGTCTTTGTCCATGTGTTTTATGTGTTTTCATGTCTTTGTGTTTGTGTGTTGTCCATTAATTTTGTACTAATTATCACTTCGTAATGCATTAATGCCGTTTTGTGGTTTTGTTTCACTAGGTGCAACATTCGCTTATGGGTCCAACAGGAATATCTATATATACATATCTATTAAAATAAAGTGTTTGACCATCAATGTGTCGTTCTGCACTCGCACTTATTCTTCGACTACATTGTAGTTCAATTTCTTAATGCACTGCATGTGAGCTCGTGACATATGTA